GAGTGAACACACGTGTCAAAGAAGAAAGAACCTGTTACATCTTTCGGCGGATTAGGGGGTTCCCCTGATTTTATGGTTCATTAGCAAAAAGATGTGTATAAGAGACAGTAACTATGTGGTCAGAAAACGTCGCCCATTGAAATAATCTCACCACACGTTCATACGTATAACGACTTGACTCATTGACTCGCAGATTATCTTTGGCCCGTAAGTATAATTATAAAAATAATCTATTCCTTCAAACAAATTAATGAAGAACCAAGGTCCTATGATAATCCCTGTTCATTTTCATGTGACTTTTCAGTACCGCCACCAGACAACTTACGCTGTCATTGAACATTAGCATTTCCAGTGATATTGGCAGTAATGTTCCGCTGGTATTTCTTGGCAACTTAGTGATAATGATACTAGATTCAATTATAGGGTCATGCAAGTACGTTTTTGGATTGAGGTAATTTTTTTAGTGAAAATGTTTAGGATCTAAACACATTGTTAACATTGTTGAGTACAGGATCGTCAGATGACTATCTGAAAATGTAGATGACCTTATTTTGATAACATTCGACATAGAAACTGATGCACTTTAGTCTGCAGTTAAGTTCACTCTGAAATCAGAGATACATTTTATACTAATGAAGAGAGTGAAAGTTAATAACTAAGATGAAGAGCCAATGGAGGATGTTCGTAATTCTTACCAGCTTTCTGTCTTCAGTGACATCGAAAATTATTACAACAACATTGGGTAACGTCATTGGGACTAGCATATTTTTCGAGGATATTACATATATCAACAAAAGTGTTAATTTAGACGTGTACCGTGGGATACCATTTGCTGAGCCCCCTATGGGAGGTCTTCGTTTCAAGCGTCCTATTGAAAGAAAACCGTGGAGTCCAGAGGTTTGGAACGCCACTTACTACAGAAATGTTTGCGAACAAACGAACCCTAATATTGTGTCGTCTGAAACTTCAGAAGATTGCTTATACTTGAATATATTTGTCCCTCAGTCTGCGATGGTAAGAGTTTATTTCAATCAATAACCTTCAAATTATAATTCATCTCATCCTAGATTATCCAGTGCTTTATTCTTACCATCATCATCATCATCATAATCATCATCACTATCTTCGCCATCATCATCATCATCATCATCATCATCATCATCATCATCATCATCATCATCATCATCATCATCATCATCATCATCATCATCATCATCATCATCATCATCATCATCATCATCATAAAGGTTTAAAGGTAGAATAACCTATAACTCGCAGCGCAAATACAGAAACAAGATGAAACCGTTTGAGCGCTTACAGTACATGCTCACATCGCGGCAGGGGCCTAAATGAACCATAAAATCAGGGCAGTGGTGGCGCCAGGACCTTTTTTTTATCCATCTTCAAAAAACATGACAAAGACATTCAAGGCAAAAGGAAAAGTACAGTAAACCATTAGTCATTCCTTATTTATAACATTCTCATTTCATTTTTAAAAATCATTTTTTTCTCTTGTAAATATTCTAAATCTGTGGAAGTACCTTATTTTAATTTAACGTTAAACACAATAGCAGTAGGTACAGTATAACCTCCTTTACTTTAAACAGAAAAACATTAGAAATGAGTATACAAGGCAGAGGTACGTCCGATTATTTGCACACTTTCAGTTAAAATTCAAGCCCATAACAATGTTTAATTTATAGCAAGTTAGAATCTAAACACACAATCCACATAAGATACAAAATATTTTCAGTGTTGCTCCCGCAAAAACTATGAAACATATGCAAAAAACCAGACAAACTTTAAATGGGAAGGAATACAGTATATGGAATTAAATTATTATTGTGAAAGAATTCAGAAAAGGTTTTGGCGCCAGGACCTGCCAGACAAACTTTAAATGGGAAGGAGTACAGTATATGGAATTTAATTATTTTTGTGAAAGAATTCAGAAAAGGTTTTGGCGCCAGGACCTGCCCGACGGAGGGGCTAAAGGCCCCGACGGGGGGGGGGGGCTAGTGGAGCGAATCGAGTCTCACTTGGCTAGGGGCCAAGTGGCCGCCTAGGGCCCCGGTGGGGGTCCAGGGGCTTCGCCCCCCACCCCTGGAAGCCATGGATGCTTGATGAATTATGGCGAATTTTTATTACTTATTTGATAGGCATCGAGTTACTATAATATCACTTCATGTAGGCTATGCTTTTTAATGTTTAAATCATCTTCAAAAGCCAAAACATTTTGAACAAAGCAAGAAACAAAGCGTATGCAATGTAACCATCTAATTTATTTCCAAATCCTCATTCTTGAAAGTGAAATTCTATATTTTGGAAATTTTCCATGAAATCTGTCAACCACGTTGTCATGTTCGAGGTTGCTTCACCTATCACGATGTATTCAAACCATCATGAGGATATCTAAATGAGCATTTGTCATAACAGAACGCATTAATTATTTTTAATTAGTCTCATTGAATTATTATTATTATTATTATTATTGTTGTTGTTGTTGTTGTTGTTGTGATGAAAAGTTAACACAAACGATATGGTGGCTAAAATATTACATGTAAATATTTTTTTTAATTTGTTTATTCCCCGACAAAATTTATCGTCTTCCTCGACGGGGTGGGGGGCTATGCTTCCCCGACGGAGGAGGATTAGCCCCCCCCCCAGGCCCCCTCTGGCGCCACCATTGAATCAGGGGAACCCCCTACTCCTCCGAAAGATGTAACGGGTTCTTTCTTCTTTGACACGTGTGTTCACTCGACCTCCATTTTAAGTCCTTATCCGAGAAGACCTGGTTCTACCAACCAGACGGCGAGGAGCGGCTCCACTCGACTCGCCACAAACTTCGTCATCATCATCCGCATCATCATCATCTTCCTTATCGTCTCATCAACATTATCATTATCACCATCATCATCACTATATTATAAAATCATATTCAATCTCTTTAAAAGAAAACAATTATTTGTTTAAAGATGACTTCTTTTGGAGGCACATTATCTGACATAAGCAATTCATTAGCAAAAGAAGCACAGTTATTGTCGTGTTTGGTGTGGTATACTTTACAAGTTTTTGTATAGGTTTTAGGCCTCTTCATCAATAACTCCATTAAAGTTTTTATACAATTAAATATTTGAAGATTGATTGATGACTTATTTTTTAACTTGAATTTTATTAAATTTGCTTTAAAATGTCTTTGAATGTTCAAACTGAATGAAAAGGGAATTACTTTATAATTAGTTTATTTACAATTGGTCATTGACGTACTCCACTATCAAGTTGTTTGAAATAAATTAAAGATTGAAATTAAAACACTGGCATTTTTGCTAGCCGAGTTGGTTGATTGAATCGTTTATACTTTAGCGTTTTTCGTTTTAAAATTCATTCCGTGTATAAATAATATAAATAACTTTTAACAAGAATGCAGTCACTCCATAGAGTACACATACTCCGTTTTGTGTTTAGACACCGAAAAATACACGTAGGGCATTTATGGGTGAGACGGGCTATTCCATTATTTTCATTGATGCTCAAAGAGTGTGCTTTAAAAAAATGTTTTGGACATTAACCTTGTCCTTTGACTTTTCGCTCCAAAATGTCATCACCTTTCCCTTAGATGATATGCACTACTCCACTTAATTTTAAGATTATGCATTCATTGGTTTTTCAGACAGACAAACAGCCATGGATAGGCCTACCTAACCTCCCTTATGGAGGTAATAATTTTCTAGTCCCTCATTATATTCATGCACTCCTAATGCCAATACAGTATAAAAAACATAAACAACTCTATCGATAACAATAACTTTAAACACGTGAATCCAACATCTCGTTTTGCAGCCAGGAACAGCAGTGATGGTTTGGTTCTATGGTGGCGCTTTTCTCTTTGGAGGCGGATCTGAACCAGAATATGATCCAACACCACTGGTTGCTGTCGGTGACGTCATAATCGTTACTGTAAATTATCGTTTAGGAATCTACGGTTTCCTAACTACTGGTAACATAACAAATAATTTTGCATACTAGTATTATTATCTGTCATATTATAGAACCTGTATTCATCGAAATTAATTAATGTAGACATAAATTGTAATTATTTTGGTCCAATAATAATAATATTTTTATTATTATTGGATCAAAATATTACAATACGTTGAGAGATGCCACACGATGTACTAATATGTCCTTTATTCGAACACTGTATTTACTTTTCTTTGAGAATCATCTAGATGTGTATAAGAGACAGCATCCGCATCATCATCATCTTCATACACATCTAGATGTGTATAAGAGACAGCTAAAGAAATGAACAATTGAACTCAGCTCAGATTTATACCCAGATTAACAATAACTGCTGACCAATGTACACTTTTCCCATAAAAAAGCATATAAATATTGGTAACCAAATAGACTGCTGCTTCTGTTACTGCTGCTTGTGCTGCTATTACTGGCGCTGCTATTACCTTCTGGTGCTGTCATTACTGCCGCTGCTGGTGCAGATATTAACAGTGCTGCTATACCATCTGTTGCTGTCATTACTGCTGCTGCTGCTGCTGTTACTTCTGCTTGTGCTGCTATTACTGGTGCTGCTATTACCTTCTGGTGCTGCCATTACTGCTGCTGTCATTACTACGGCTGCTGCTGTTACTGCTACTGGTGCTTCTATTACTGGTGCCGCTTTTGCATTCTAATGATGTTATTACACTGCTGCTTCTGTTACTGCTGCTTGTGCTGCTATTACTGGCGCTGCTATTACCTTCTGGTGCTGCCATTACTGCTGCTGCTTTTACTGACTGGTGCTGCTATTACCTTCTGGTGCTTTTACTACTGCTGCCTGGTGCTGTTTTTTCTGACTGGTGCTGCTATTTCCTTCTGGTGCTGCCATTACTGCTGCTGTCATTACTACGGCTGCTGCTGTTACTGCTGCTGGTGCTTCTATTACTGGTGCCGCTTTTGCATTCTAATGATGTTATTACACTGCTGCTTGTGCTGCTATTACTGGCGCTGCTATTACCTTCTGGTGCTGTCATTACTGCTGCTGCTTTTACTGACTGGTGCTGCTATTACCTTCTGGTGCTTTTAATACTGCTGCCTGGTGCTGTTTTTCTGACTGGTGCTGCTATTTCCTTCTGGTGCTGCTGATATTACTACTGCTGGTGCTGCTTTTATTGCTGGTGCTGCTATTACTGGGTATTACCATAGATAAAGAAAATAAGCTGCTGCTCCTGCTGCTGCTATTTACATAATAATGCATTACTATTATTATTATACTATTATTATATTTATATTATTAAATTTTAAAAATATTATTATTATTGCTTACGATAAAATATGCTTCAGCTTTATGTGGTTGGTTCACAAAAGATAATGACTTCGTTATTTCTAATCCAATCAAGGTGATGACGAAGCACCTGGAAATTATGGGGTGCTTGATCAGGTACTAGCATTGCACTGGATCCGTGATAACATTGCAGGTAAGATAATTTTTCAAGTGCTCAATTACCCGTATTGCAATGGATCTGAGATAACATTGCAAGTACAAACAGTTTACCAGCTGTTAAGAAGACGCTAAACTAAATTTCTTATTTTACAGCGTTCAATGGTGACCCAAATTCTATTACAATATTCGGTGAAAGTGCAGGAGCAGCAAGTGTGCATTTGCACATCCTATCTCCTTTAAGTCGTGGCTTATTTCAGCGGGGTCTTATGCAAGTATGTTTATGATAATAATAATAGTAATAATAGTAATAATAATAATTGATAATAATAATAACAATAATAATAATAATATAATAATAATAATAATAATAATAATAATAATAATAATAATAATAATAATAATAATAATAATTATAATAATAATAATAATAATAATAATAAGAAAAGTAAGATAACTTCAGTTTTGAGCTTTCGACTGTCTTTGTAGTCTTGTTCAAAATGACACATGTTCTAAAACGTCCGACGAACTAGTAGAGCTCTTTCTTCGATGATCTAAATCTTGTTTAAACGCAGGTTCCGTTTCCCCAGCATAAGAGGCTTTTACAGTTTTGGCACTTGGTCTGGTAAACCGAACCGACCACTCTCTCTTTACTTCTCGGGTCCTTTAGGCGTACAAGAAATTTATTAAATATGTAAGTCGACGCGGAGAAACACTGCTACATCGTAACTTTTCATTACTCGGATCTGTTCCGAAACTCCCTTGATATATGGTTTTCCTACTGGCCTCACTCTGACGCACAATCCTTCCAGTGATGTCGCGAAATCTCAAAAAGTGAGTTATTTTGCTTTATCTGCAAATATGAAGTTATAAGTTTACTTGTATCTTCTTCTTATCGTGTGCAATTTAGGCCTATATATAATAATAATTATATTGATGGTGTAGATGGCGATAACAATAATAATGCTGACGATGGTAACGTTACCGATGATAAAGATAATGACAATAATTTTGGGCGCTTGTATTGCCATCGAAAGACTCACATTGCTTCACGTTCTGGTCATTAAAAACTGCAACAACCATAGAATATTTGCAAACACCTTGGTTAGATTTCATAATAATTTATAGTTTCAATATAAGCCTAATTCTAATTTATACAACATTAAACAACCACTCCCTCCCCTAATTACCTATGAACTCATTGGGTCAGACAAACGTAAAGTGTCTTGCATAAAATAAACAAAAGAATTGACAACATGGGATGCAAAACCCGACCTAACCGTTGACAGTTATAATTGAGACTGCTTGTCGAACCTCTACCACTAAATTACAGAGCACATTTATATTAAAATCCCAGAAGACATTATATACGTTTTGCTGGTTTCACTAGAGTGGTTCAGCGCTCTCCGGTTGGGCTGTTGCATTGGATAAAGAGAAGGCTATTTCTGATGGAAGATATGTCGGTAGAGCCGTCAACTGCACACAAGAGGACTCCGCTGAATTTGTAGCGTGTCTTCGTAGCAAACCCATGGCGGCAATTACAGCAGCTCAGGTAAATGTTAACATTAAAATCAGTGTGTCCACTAAACTATTGAATGCAAACTGACAAAAGTCTTAATATTGGCAAGATCTATAAGTCATTTTTACGTTCCCTTTTTTCAGTTTGCCTCACAAGTTACGAATATGATTCCATTTCTACCAGTAGTGGATAATTATTTCCTGTCAGATGCACCAGCAACTTTAGTTGCTAAAATGGAATACCAGGCAACAGACATCCTTATAGGTAATAACCACGACGAAGGCGCACTCTATGCTCTCACGGAATACAAGAACTATGTCCGTTCAGAAGAACCTCCGGTAATGTCACTTGATGAGTTTCGATCTACTTTTCCAAAGTACATTTATAGTTACAGTAACCCGTATGTACTGGATGCAATTGAACATCAATATTTAGACTGGACAACGGTAGATAACAATCTAACAAGTCACTTAGATGAGTTTATCCAGCTGACAACTGACCAAGACTTCGCATGTCCGTCAATAGACGTTGCAAGGGCGCATGCTACGCGAGGCAATCGCGTGTACCAGTACGAGATGACACATATTCCATCAATGTCTGTGTACACACTCAACAAAAAAATAGGACCGAAGTGGCTCGGAGCAACCCATGTTGAGGAAGTCCAATACACGTTCGGATGGGGTTATAACCCGGCACTACGCAGACGATACAAACAGACAAATGATGAGTTAGAAATGTCAGTGCAGTTTATGCGTTACTGGACGAACTTTGCCAAATATGGGTACGGTATTTATTCAGGCTATCACATAACAGATTTTTTTTTTCTTCACATCCAACAGCAAGTACACTCGCCACTTACAGGATGAGAATGATGCTTTAAGGCCAACTCAGACAGCGTCGGCCGACGCAGCCCGACGCGATTTGTTGTCGCGTCGGGTCTGTGTGAGTTGAACGCAGACGCGATGGTGTGCGTCGGGGGCAGTCGCTTAGTAGAATATTAAACGTGTTCAATATTTCTCACGACGGCTTAAGACTGTTCCCGACGATAAATCGCGTCGGGCTGCGTCGGCCGACGCTGTCTGAGTTGGCCTTTATAAACCAAGTCTCTTTGTGAGGCTTAGGGAGTGGAGTTGTTTTTGGTCGCGAGAAAAAGTCCTGCTGTGACAGGAATTGAACCCAGGACCTTGGGATCAGAAGGCAAGAGCATCTTACCCACTGAGCTATCCAACTTCACAGATAATAATAGATTTGTATAACATAATTTTTACTGCCCTTGTTTAATATATAATAATATTTTGTTTTGCATTTCAGCGATCCAAATGGATCACCGAATGAAACATCGATCTATCCTGCATGGCCAGTATTTACTATAGATGTGTATAAGAGACAGACATAATTATACTGTATTGTTAACATATAAGTCAACATAAAATAATAATCATTTACTTTCAGTTAATAAAATCCACAACCTTACCTACAAAACATCAGGCAAACAGCATCTTATCGTTATCGTTGAAGTATAAACAGACCTTAAGCCAGAAAGTATCAGGCGAGCATGACTAGAAACAATAGGCTAGGTGAGATGAAAATAAACGCGTGAACAAAGAGTGAACAAGAAGGACAAAACTAAACTTTAGAGGCACGCCTCTATAAATAATCCAAATAATTTATATAGATAAAATGATTTATATAGATTATATATATATATAATTATATATATATAATTATATATATATACAGCTGTAAGCTTCATAATTAGTGTTTGTAGAGCATCTTGCGTGTATGTGTCTCTTTGTGAAGGCATTGCATATGAATGAGATTAAGTTCGTTGTTTGGCATTTTATTGGCATTTGTGCCTTGAATAAATATACGGGCTACCTGTCGATGTCCTCTGCTCGAACCAGGTTTGGGTTCCATTCCCATCAACACCGTGCAGTCCATACACATTGCCAATACCTCAGCCCACACCCCTCCTTGATGTTATCCATCCACATATTCATATAACAATAATAATAATAATAATAATAAAGCTTATTTTTGAAATTTCTCGTTACAACTTTCCTTCATTTTTTCAGATGACATTGAAAACCTTCAGAAAGATTGGAGTGAAAGTCACAAAGTGTGGAAACTCGAGGATATGGCTAGTTGGCAGACAGAATTTGAAAGCTTCAAAAACGATGACCGTTGTTAATATTAAATTAACAGAGCAAGCTCTCCTTATATCAACAAAATTGATGAGAAATAGTGTACCTAACTATTATTAACTACCGTAACGCTCTATTACTAGGCGTATCTAAGCATGGAGGAATTACTAATTCCTCCATGATATAAGTGTCTCATTATGATTATTTAAAATGTTATACTAATACATACCGTATTATTACGATATACTGTTAAACTAGTATGCTGTGCTAATCCATGGCTAAATTTTAAAACACCTTTGTATAGATAACTACACTAAATTATGGGTCTATTCGAAAGGTCCACTGATTAATCTCAGATAAGTATAATACATACTCCAAGTATCGAAATGCACGCCATCGTGTCGGGATTCATTATTCAATATTTTGACATTAATCAGAATTCAATATTTCGACATTAATTATGTCATCATCAGGAATGATGCTATGTCATCATTCCTGATGATGATATAATTAATGTAAAAATATTGAATCCCGACACGATGGCGTGTATTTCGATAATTGGAGTATGTATTATACTATCCTATGGGTCTATAATTTATATAAATAAGCATTAATCAATTACAATAAATGACATCGTCAAAATCATCAAAATAAAGCTTTCTCTCTGTTCAAGTGTATGGTTAGTACATTTAGTATACACATTGTATCTGAAGGCAGTTTATATATATATATATATATATATATATATATATATATATATAAGCCTAACGTATTTACCGATTGTTGTAATCTTTGTTGAAATGGAGCAAAAAACAAATCAAATCAAATTAAACGAAAAACCCGCATTAACTGAAAACAAATAAAACCCCAAAACAAGTAAAAACATATCGGTCTTGTAAGAAACGATTTCGTTAAAAATAGTGGGCACCTTAGATCTAGTTTTCATTTACAGAGAGTGAATGGGTGGAAATGGTTACATTGGTCACAACTATATAATGGGGTTGTCTTGATTCGAGTCGAATTATGAAACATGATAGGCTTGGCACCCTGGCCTATAATGACTAGTGTCCAAAATCTATTACAAAAACGTAATGTACCGTATAATACTGAGTTATTATCATTGTTGTATAATTTTCGGTATACTATTATAAGCCTCACCGAATTTCTTTCCAATTGACATATTTCTTCGTTCATACCTAAAGGCTTTTATTCAGTAAGTAGGCCTCCGGCCCTTTATACATACAACATAAATAAAAATTAAAAGAGGGTTTCTAAATAAGTATTTCTATGATTATAAACATAATACACATATTTTAATAAATTATTGGCACTATTCACATTATTGGACGACATTAAATGAAAGAACTATGAAATATTGAAGTATTTTTGTTAAAATGTGGTAGATATATATATATATATATATATATATATATATAATTTAATTTTATTAAAAAGGGACAAACTAATACAAAATGATATTCGTCTTCTATTTTATCTAGGCCTAGTGTCATAACTTGCATAATCTGTCCTGCCTTTTCTATATTCACTCATCTAAACCTTTCTACCTCAAATTTCAAAATAACCAATCTAAATTTTCGTTTGTATAAAAAATCAATATTTTGTATCGACAGGAACAGAAATTTAACTGTTCCCTAGTATCAAGTACAGTAGGCATATTCATCTATTCCAAACGTCTACTTGAACATTTTTTAATGTATTAATTTAGAATATGAATTTATCTTTTAAAACATATCTTAGTTCTATATATGTCAATCTAAGTTTAATTTCAGAAATGAACATGTTTATATCATTAGTATTTTTGGATAACCATATTTCACCGAAACCAATATAACATATAATTTGTTTAATAATAATAATAATAATAATAATAATAATAATAATAATAATAATAATAATAATAATAATAATTGTCAACTTATATAGCGCATAATGCAAATACCTCTATGCGCTTTACAGCAGGCAGTGGGATAAAATATTAAAAGTTTCACCTAATAAACTAATAAATGAATATATACTATATAAATATACTTTAACGTTATACCCAACAAGGTTCTTATTGGTGTTTTTCACATCCGAAAATCATAGCATTTTCTGATAATTCTAACTTCACTCATATTAATCAAACGTACACAATATCGTATAACATCAACAATACAATTTTGATTTTGAAAACCTTTCACATTCACCCATAACCGCCTCGTTGGGTGCTGATTTTCCAATAATATTACCTAATAAATATATCTACAACATTTGATCTGATAAAAAATAAAATAGACGATTTCAAATGTCAACTTTTTATTGACCAAAAGTTTTTTGTATCACATTTGCCACTCGTTTATATTCGCTCGTTTATATTTTTTTGGCGGGACATTTACCTTATGTTAAACTAAGTCGTTGTTAACGTCAGAAACAGGATGCTTTTGGTGCTCGCTAAACAGATAAAAAAAATGAATGGGCGTACATTTCCGTTCTTCATCTAATCTCATACAAGAATATTCCGATGTTTCAGAAATATGGCATTCGCCATTCGCAAAAAAAAAAAAAAAAAGAGAGAAAAAAATGGAAAACAGATAGGAAAATTCATAACTGTGAGTGAGGGCACACAATCTTATAAATATTTGCACTATATTTGGGGTTTACATTTCTTCTAATAAAAAAAAATAAAAAAATAAAAAAAAGAACAAAGTCATTCTAATCTAAAAGAACAATTGGATTGCACACTGTCGAAAAAATATATGATCATATGCTAAGGTCTGCTAAGAGAAGCTTATCCGACTTTAAAGGATGTTCCGCCCTTTTTCTGGCGGTTCCCCCCGCCCGCCCATTCATTTTTTTTATCTAGTGATGCTAAATCAATAGAGAAATGTTAGTCCCTAAAAAAGGTCACGGGGGCCCTGATTTTCACTACAAAATAAGAAAGAAAGGGGAAAGAAAAAGATAAAAGGAAAAGAAATGAAAATCGTAAGACAGAAAAGAATAAGAAAAGGAAGCATAAGAAAGAAAAAGAGAGACTAAAACAGAAAATGAAACATAGAAACAAAAGGAAATATAAGAAAGGAAAAAAAGAAGAAAAGGAACCATAAGAAAGAATAGGAAAAAGATAAGGAGACAAAAAAGAAAAGTGTAAGAAAGAAAAAGAAAAGAAAAGGAAATATCGAAAGACATTGGTATAACTGTGGTTAAAAAAGGTAAAGTAATAAAATGATGAGTCTTGTTACATTTTCTTCTTGTGATATGTATCTTGTTTTTTTCTCTACTGCTTGTTTGACACTGCCCAGCACCTATTTAGGTGGAGATGTTTGCGCTTTATAAATCTTTATTATTATTATTATTATTATTATTATTATTATTATTATTATTATTATTATTATTATTATTATTATTATTATTATTAATAATAATATGATTATTATTATTATTATTATTATTACTACTATTACAGTATTATTATTATTATTATTAATAGGCATATTATATTATTATCAAGCCTATTATTATTAGTATTATTATTATTATTGTTATTATTATTATTATTATTAATAGGCATATTATATTATTATAAGGCATATTATTATTATTATTATTAACAACACGATATTCAAACTTAAAACAATGATTAACTTAGTCTTTTTGCAAGTACACGACTTTTAAAATCAATCAAGAGATTTTTGCTAATCTCCCCTTTTTAACTTTCACTTTTGTATTAGTAATATTGCGACTACACTATTATGAGTGGAAATAATATCAGTCTATTGTCAAATAAAGTGAAATCACCTCGACCTGACAAAATATCGTAACATTATCAGCCATACATATTGACAAATCAAAAAAGCTCCAAAAAATACGAAATGGTTCTTCTTGCAAGAGCGAGAATAGCCTACCAAAAGTGTTTCACGCTGACATTAGCTGTTTTTATGTCATATTTTGTCTTTCCACAGTCGTATCTGGCAAATACTTGTCGGAGTTTTGTATTCCCTTCTGCATTTGTAAGGCAATTCTTTTCTGATTGCTTTAGTATTTGTTTCAATTGTATTGCTTGAAAAAGGTCACCGTAATTTTTCACTTTTCTATTGGTGCTATGCTGACCGCCCACCGCGCGTAGAGGCTGCATTTTTACCTCTTTTTAGAGACTTAAATTGCCATTTCGACTGTTCACCAATCAAATATCTTGTTGTTCATTT